CCAATGTTACTTCTTGGTTGTGTGTTAATACATGCAGTGCAATCGCTCAAATGTTTAATCAATTTCACACATGTGTATACATGGAGTAAAAAGTTGTATGAGTGAGTAACTTGATCTGATTTTGAGCAATAGTTTAAGTTCAAAAGGTGGTCATCAGTTAATATTACTGTATAACAACACTGTATGATTTATAAAAATAAAATCTCATCTCTAATGCAAGGCCTTAAGTGTTTCTGAGGTTGGATGGATGGGTGAAAACTCTAATTCAACTGCCCATTTGATATGAATACTGACTGTGATTCTGTAACGTTTAAGTGAAGAAATGTCCTGATAACTGACGTGTGTGATGAAGTGATGTGTGTGTGTGTGAGACTGAATTTCATATGAGTGACTTTTATGTCACAAAATCCATAATTTATGTCGTTACACGTATGAATAAGCAAACTGCCAATATATTTGAGGCGTCATTTATCTGTCACCATGGAATAACTTAACATTTAAGTAGTCAGACATTTGAGAAACCTTTTCTCTTGTCTAAGAATAACTTTAACTGATATAATGCATGTGTTCAATTTCATTACTAGGCACCAGTAACCGAATTAAACAGAGTCGTATACTTAAAAGTGACACCAATTAGTCTGTTTCAGATATGGCAGCGTAAAATCACAAGTGTCAATAAGGCAACAGTCAGAAAACGAAAGATAATGAACACTCCATAATGTTTATTATTTTGTTTAATATTTGCAAATAACTGACAAAGGCATCTGAATTGATTCATTGCTTCACTCAATTGTTTTTTGCAGGTTTGCCCTCTATACCCGACTAGGTGAAACATGGGGTTGCTTTTTAGATGCGTTGCCACCGTCGCTTGGAGGAAAAAATAAAGCTTGTATAAGTAAAAACAACGAGAAAACGATGTGAACATTTTCATTTTTAGGTATTTCGCAGCAAAACACAAACACATCGTAGACTTCAATTGGGAGAATTACAAACAACAGATGATAAACTGACGATACTACTGAAATATGAAATAAAAGGTCTTCTACTTATGCAAACAACGTATTCTGTAATTGCTGTACATTTCATTTGTAACCGTAAAACAGTACACATTTTATGTGATATATAATTTCCAGAAAATACTTAGGATCGATGTTTGTGCAAATAAGATGGATGAGTTAAATAGGCGTTAAGCGATTCAGTACGATTAGTGTATTTTTTCATACAACTGCAACAGCATAACTTTATTAACAAAAAATTTTGAATAATTTACTTTGTTTACATGTAGTAAACAATAGAAAAATAAACATTTTGAGAGATGGAATGTATTTCGGAATAATATTTACAGACATAAATTGCACTGGAAGGTAAACTTTTTTTGTCACTAATTCAGTTTTTAATTATATTCCAGTGCTTCAGCAACACATCTTAACTTTCACCTATTCCCTGCTGTCCTCTTCAGCTCGCTAGCTCCACAGCCTTCCATAATTTGTCACCTCATCCAAGTTACACGATCTCATCAATCTCACCCTCGCACTCACGAGCCACTCGTTACTTCTCACTCCAGCGATGGCCTGCATCGCGCGCGATTTCATACCACGGCCTCCTCAACGTATGCCCGATATATGTCCATTTTCTACCATATATTTGTTGAGCAATCAGCTCTTGGTTGGTTTGTTCCCAGCCAGAGTTGGTGCTAACTCTTTCTGGCCCGCTGACCATTTGTACTTCAGTATGGAGTCAGCGAAGGTGGCAGCTGTTGATAAAAATCTGTAACTTGTTGCAAATCCTGTTTGTGACTCACCAAGTTCCTGACCCTCATATAAAAATGACTGACTTCACATTTGTGTCGTTTCTGCTGATTGGTTGCAGAGGAATTTCAAAATGGTCCCAGGTTAATGAAGGTGTGTCTTGCTATTCCGATTCTCTCCTGTGATTACATTTCCATACGTTCCGACTACTTGTGGTTGAAATCATGGTTCCTAGATAAGTGGAGGAAGTGACCTCTGTCAAATCTCTCCCGTTGATGGTGATTAGTGATGGTCGCTGTTGCTGTTGGTTGGTTATCTTCATCACCTCCATCTTCTCTATGTTCACCTGGAGTCCAGTCTTAGCTGCTTACCTCTTCTGACAGTTTGGTGGGCTTACGCCTGTAAGTCTTGAAGTTCGTGTAACACTGGACATATATCATCAACGCGTGAGATCCAGATCTTCTAGAGTCTTCTTATTGGTCATTGCAGCGTATCCCTTTCCACTTGCAGGCTTGCAGTCTGACGCATAACCAAGTCAACTACAATTAGGAATATCATCGAAGCTAATAATGGTCTTTTGGCTAGGAAAACTGCCTTCAGGAGATAAATAATAATAATAATTTGCTTTATTCCAAAAACAGTATTAATGATACAGCAAGGAATTTTCAGACATCAGTACAATATTGCATCTAATTTACTCAAAAACGACAACAACAAAAAAATAGATAAACGAAATAATTAATACATAATAATGATAACAAAACGTTTTCATAGCAGCTATGTAGCAATTACAGTATACGATAAGGAGAAAAATACGCATAAAGTATAAAATTATAGTAATAATAGTAATAACAACTAAAATAAAAATAGCAAAGTTATAATTAAACGATAGAAAGGGTGACACCATAAAATTACAGAAAAATGAACAATGAAGGGGTCGATTCACTATTCTTATTACATAGTAACTTGTATGTTTCACGTCTAACAGTGTCTTCATCACATAAAATACGGGCTAAATACGGTATTGTAGAATTTTTGTACCTAGTGGTACGAGCATATAATTTCTTATATTGACTTCTCGTTCTACCGGATGAGATAAAAGGGGATAGTTGTGAATAAAAAGGGTGCAAAGGGTCTGACAGTACGGCCTTTGCCCACTTTGTACAGGAATTTACGTGTCTCTCCACTATAGTATTGGCGAGCTCACGCAGTGGCAAACCACAAGCCCTACTCACAGCATTTAATACCCTTCGTAATATGACATAGTCTTTTTAAGAAGCCCAGGAAAGATTAATGGAGAACAATAAAGTACAATAGGTAAAATACATGAGTTTAAAAATTGCAGAACTAAAGGTTGGCTGATACCTTGTTGTCTTACCTATTTAATGTAGAAGGTAAGACGAAACATTTTCTTAGAGATCAATAAAATGTGGGATGACCATGAAAGGTCAGAGGAAAGAACTAATCCAAGGTATTTAATGCTTGACTTGGTTTCAATTTCTGTGCCATCTATGCTACAGGCATCATGGGAACTAACTAGTTCATGTATGTCACGTCGATGCTTGAAGGTAAAGTTAACTGCCTGACATTTGGAAGGATTTAACATAAGACCATTTGACTTAGACCACATGCTGATGTCCAACAGAAAGCTATTAAGTTTGGAGCAGTCAGACTCGGAAGTGATAGGCAGTGATACAGTCAGATCATCAGCATATTTGACAAAATTAGTTTCGTTTAAATGTGGCAGATCGTGTACTTACTTTTGCTTTACTTCGGCTATCTCCTACGTGAGGATGAGCCGGCTTCATGAACATCTCGAATCATCGCTGCCCAGGCGCGGCGATCTGATGCAAGGTTTTGCGACAGGGTTATCCGATTCTTCTTCCACAGACGGAGTCCGTAGACGGTTTGTAGCCCCAGGCACTCCATATCAGCCTTGACTGTACCAAGCCATGTTTTCAGCTGTCCACCCCTGCGACATCGCCAAGATGGTAATGGCGAGGGATTTAGAACTGATTTGAGCAGATCATCATCTGGTCGGCGCAGAACATGGCCAAACCACCGAAGGCGACGTTGTTGGACCAGTACTGGAATTTGGTTGGTGTTGTAGCAACGACGACGCACTTCTTCGTTGGAGAGTTTGTCCTGCCAACGAACATGCAGAATGTACCTGAGGCACCAATGGTCTACTACCTCAAGTCTGCGTACATCTTCCGCGCGAAGAGGCCAGGTTTCACAGCCATACAGGAGAACGGATCGTATGGAGGCTTGGTAAACCCGAATTTTAGTCCTGAGACTGATTTCCTTCTTGCTCCATAGAACGCTTCTCAGCTGAAGAAACGCATTCCGGAAGTTGGAGATCCGCGCATTCACTTCGTTTTTCGCTTGACCGTTGGGAAGCATTATGGATCCCAGATATCTGAAGGATGGCACAATTTCAATAGGTGCTCCATTCAGGTATAAGATTTCATCATTGCTGGTGGATGTGTTCGAAAACATTTTGGTTTTGGAAGTGTTGATTTCCAAACCGATGGTAGACGCGAGGTGGTTTATCTGATCGAGCGCCTGTTGCATATCGGGGAAGTTTTCAGCTAGTAACACGACGTCGTCGGCGAATTCGAGGTCGGTTATGTGAATATCGGGCGAAAGTTGGACGCCGTGGTGCTCGGTTAGGGCGTGCCGCAAAATCCAATCAATTGTGAAATTGAACAGAATGGGGGATGCTGGACAACCTTGTCGGACACCGCTGGTTACCTCAAAAGTGCGAGACTCTTCACCGTTCACTTGGACTTGAGCTTTGGTTTTGGAGTAGTATGACCTGAGCAGGTTGATTAGCTTGGTCGGAACTCCGTCGAGCTCCATTAGATACCATAGTGCTCCTCGATCAACTGAGTCGAATGCAGCTCGGAAGTCGATGAAACAAGCAACCGTCGGCTGTTGATATTTGTCCCTGTGTTCCAAAATTCTTCTCGGTGTGAATAATTGATCAATACAGCCTCTTCCAGGTCGAAATCCGGCTTGATTTGGCCTTGTTCGCACGTGGCGTTCGGCGGCGAAGCGGTTCAGGAGAATGGAAACAAAAACCTTAGCAGCGATATCAATCAGACTTATGCCTCGGTAGTTCTCCCTTTTTTTGCAACGGTAGCAAAACTGAGGTGCTCCAATCGGAAGGAATGGTTTCGGAATCCCAAATTGAGCAGAACAGCGAGTGCAGCGAATCGATTAGCGCTGGAGTGCAGGCCTTGTATATTTCTGGAGGTAGACCATCTTCGCCCGGAGCTTTCTTGTTCCTGAGTCTGTTAATTGTTTTAGCTATTTCGGTTGGAGTGGGTGGATCGCAGTCAACTACGTAGGGTGTTGGTAAGTGTTGTATCGGTCGATGAGGCGGTTGACCAGCGTTGCGATTGAGTAGCTGCTTGAAATGTTCGGCCCATCGTTCCATCTTACCATTGGTGTCCGAAATAATTTCTCCTGATGCTGTGCGTAACACAGCATGGCTGTTAAGGCGTTTGCCAGATGATAGGCGTATGAGGCGATAAAGTTTTCCGAAATCGCCTACATTTGATGCTCCTTCCATGTTAGTCGCCACATTAGACCAATAGCGATTTCTATCATTCCTAGCAGACTGTGTAGCTTTGCGCCTGAGGGAGCGATAAACTGGAGACTTTGCTAGGCGAGCGTCTCTGGCTTGCGAGGATAGATGCATAGTGTGCTCTGAAATCCAGTCTTTCTGTTTGTTGGATGTGGTACCCAAATGCGACATTGAAGCTTTAGAGACTACTTCTTTGAAATGATTCCATCGTGTCTCAGGTGTATTAGAAGATGTGGATGTTGGCTCATCTGCGGCGCTTAGTTCGGCCTGGATTTGTTTGGACAAGGCTTGTCGCTTTATCGAACATTGAAGCGGGGCAACATTGATATACTTCGGAGGTCGCACCTTCTGGCGTGTTGTTAAACGAAGTTTGAATTTCGCCCGAACTAGAGTATGGTCTGATCCCCCTTTGTTTCCGGCCTCTGCGCCACGATAGGATCGGCAGTCCTCCACCAAGGAGATCCAGCGTGAGCGCACTAGGATGTAGTCAATCTGATGTGCAGTGCGACCGTCGTTCGAATACCAGGTGAAAAGATGTTTTCTAGGGTGTTGAAATCGAGTGTTGGTGATATATAATCGATTGTAATCAGAAAAAGCTAAAAGTCTATCACCATTACGGCAATGTTGATCGAGACCGTGTTTGCCTAGTATATGCTTTGTCGCGTCGTCTGAAGGGCCAGTGCGGGCGTTCCAATCGCCGGCTACTATGAGAACGTCACGCTTTGGGATTTTGTTGATTGCCTCTTGAAGGTTGTCATAGAATTCGTCTTTGATACTTTCATCAGAGTCCAGGGTTGGGGCATAGACAGCGAGAACAGAAATGTCGAGTGGGGAACCCTTGAACCTAGCGATTGCAACTCTGGAGTTGACCGGTTCGAACGATATTAGGGCATTATCGGCTTCGTTACTGAGAGCAAATGCTACCCCATGTTGTCCCGAATTATTCTGGGGTCCCCTATGAAGCAACCAGAATGAAGAATCTGTTCCAGGTACGGCTATTCGGCGGGAGCCATGATCGGGCAACCTCACTTCAGATAGACACGCTATGTCCACCTTGTAGTCGTATAAAGAACGCATGGTGATAGACTAGCTACCAGGGTCCAACAGCGTCCTAACATTCCAGCAGCCAACAAATAGTTGGTTCCTAAGTGTTAATTTCCCAGCTGGCTTACTTTTCACACTGGCCACCGGGTGAGCACAGGGCGCGTCGCTTATCGGGAACGCCGTAGCATGGTGAGAGTCGTTTGTAAGAGAGTTCATGAAGTTTCATGGGAATTTGGTACGAGTGAAGTCCCCAGAATCGCTCGGCCTTTTGTTCGAGAGTGCAGCTCTAGCCTTTACACAACCAAGTGTGACCTACAAGGCAGTAGGAGTGCAGTAGGGAGTCCACTCTCCATTGGCAGCCGGTGACCGGAGTTCGGTTCATACGCCTTTTTGAATGGGGCCAGACATCCAGGACATCCAACACGCCCTTTGTCCATACGTCTGCCAGTGAGCTCCAGTGGGCTTCATACGCCAGTCGTTGGAGGTTTGGAATCCGGGTTTAGCCATCTCCCCTAGACTGTCATCCAATGGACAGTCAACCTGGTGAAGAGCGCCGGGCATCCGCTTTCGCCCTCTCACTTTGGTGAGAAACACCTCCGCCACGTGAAGGCAGTGAGTAGGACTTCCTCAGGAGAGGCTATGTAAGACGCCCGGTCATATGGGAGCATTTCAAGAGGTGTGCGGAGGGGTGGCCAACCCGCAGCGCAAGGCACCCACCCCCGACCATCCTGAGGCTTTTGGATGCAGATCGCGTAGGAAGAAAGAAAAAAGAAAAGGAGAGTGGACGGCACCTTGAGGAACACCGGCTTTTGTGAGCAAAGCAGAAGGAGATTTGCCATTATATGCAGTATACTGCATTCTATCAGAAAAATAAGAATGCAACCAACTCTTAGCCCAGGAGGCTGTGTGCGTCAAGGAGAGCTTATTTAATAAAAGGCCCCTAGGTACAGAGTCAAACGCAGATGTGTAGTCTAGGAAAGCACCACGAACATATTTGGCACCTTTGTCTAAACAAGAAACAACATTATGATATAAGACAACCGCAGCATCCAAGGTACTTCTACCATGTTTATATGCAAATTGCTTAGGGTAATTAAAAGCTTCCAGTGAAGGTTCAAGACGAAGTAAAAGTAGTTTTTCCATCAATTTTAAAAAAGGAGAAGTAATTGCAATAGGCCTAAATTTAATATCGGTACCAGAAGATTGTTTTGGTCTAGGGATAATTTTAATGTTTTTCCATGCAGAAGGTAGAACATTACTGGAAAAGGAAGCATTAAAAATATTAGTAAGAGGGTAACACAAAATATCAGCACAGTTCCTGAGGACACTTACGTTTTCCCCCACAGTATGCGACGGCATCGTGGAATGGAATATCACTGACTAGCAGTTTAGCTGGCCTACACTCATGCTCCGCTTGCCTGACATCCAAAACCTGCCTGAATGGGTGTCAATAACCGCGATTACAAAGGCCGTCTGTAAAATGAATAGAAGAAAAGTGGTGAGACTCGAGGTAGTGACTACAGAACTGCTTTAGGACGTCGATGATACAATATCCTCTAGGTTAACTAAGGTATTAGGTTATGTTCTGGAATCCGAGATTATTCCATTAGACTGGTTAGACTGATTATCCCCATTTAGAACGATGGGTACAAGTTATCATGTAATATTCACAGGGTGATGAGGTCGAATAGTGTAGTAACTGAATTTCTAGGTTCAATGATTACGTACAGACTAAGGTGTTTCTGTGAGGAACAAACTCGGGATTCAAGCCAGGACGAGGGAACATTGATTACATTATCAACTTTCCACAGATGCTAGAGTATGGATATATTTACTGACATCCAGAAATTACCATATTTCTTGCCATGGGTGCGGTATTTGATTCTGTCGACCGAGAAAATTTGCGGCAGTGTTTATTTATAAATGAAGTACAAAGAAGGCTCTTAGGAAATGAAGAGTACTTTGGGAAAATATTGATGGATTCAAACTGTAAGAAGGTAAACTTGTACGATATCAGGTGATTTATGTTTTATTCATTACTGAAGATTGAAATAGTTCTTCATTAGTCAGTGATAAATATATTCACATTGTCAAGATGATGCGATCTGTTCACTGCACAATGACGTCTCTGGCGTAAAAACAGTCCGCTTTATTTTCATAATTTAAGGCCAGTGGATAAAAATACTTAGATCGCATGTTATATCATTCCACGGATTGAGACATTTATTATCTGATTACTAATTTACAGATCACAACAGCTTCAGTTGCATAAAAATGTAGGCGAAATTATTTTGATCGATTTGACATTACTTGATGAATGATACTGAATCAAGTCTACCGGTGCTGCATGGTCAGAAGTTGTATTGTGTTCTAGAGTTGATATTCTCCCTTTTTTGTGTCCTGCTGTGAAAAATCATTCTGAAAGGTGTTCATGAGACAATCTAGACAATGTCTTGATGGTACGGTTCACTTACTCGAATCGTCAGCAACTGTAAGGCATGCTGTTTAAGAAAAATACAAATTTCACATGTATTTAGGTAGGAAACATTCAGGAATCCAGTGTACAACATGTGTTTCTAGAATCTGCTTGTAAATCACATTGTAGCAACTTTCCTCACAACTACATAAAGAATCATAACGTCATTATTCAAGCTTCACTTGGAGCATATTGAGTGATTGTTAATGGTCATAATCAAAATCACCTTTCCGAATCATTTATATTTTATAAACTGATTATCACCTGTTATGTAAGTGATTCACATTTTCCTTACTCCTTATTCACACAGTTAAACGGTGTATTTTGCTAATCTACCCATTTATTTTGTGTTCTAGATGACTGAATCTTTCCTGACTGAAGCGTCAGGAGGAATTAATGCCTCTAATTTCTTTCATAGATGTGTACAGTAGTGTTCCTGTCACACACTAAAACATGAAGGGATGGTTATAACATCTAGAGAATTGATCTACTTTGAATTGTATGCTCCTTTGTAATGATCTCAAGTGTTCTTGCATCATCAAATCATGTAACCAGATGCGATTTTACTTACTTCCGAACTATTCAAGAAATAAATCTCACCTGTTTGACCAACTCTGTATGCAAACAATCCGCTACAGGCATTAGGAAGTTAGCCCAATTATTGTTTAAAATCATTCTCATGCCGACACGCAATTCAACAGCTATGAGTATGGCATAAACTCTAAGCCTGAAAAGACACCAAAGTTGAAATATTTCATGTGAAATTAATTCATTTCGTAGTTTCTGAGCTACATGGTAATTTATTGTGCAACTAAAAACAAGTTTACCTATTTGTTTTCTCATGATTTTTCCTCTGTTTGTATTCCTTGATTAACAAGTCTACATAAAAGCGCTAGTGAGAGATTCAAAACGGCTTTCCAGTATTACTATTCAGCCTTAGAGTTCTGTGTATGAAAACTTACTTCATTGTTTCATCTTTCGGTTTATTGCCGTTTAAATTCTTCACGAATTTTACAAAATTCAACCATCGTTCTTAGTTTTCTTCAACTGCCTGTACTATGAAAAGGACGTGTCTAGAATGAATGCTAAAATGCCACAGTAGTATGTTACACAATTCATAATCAAGTTTTCAAATGTAACTTCGTATTCCTTTGTTATGTTTAGTTATTAATTAGAATTGTATTGTTGTCATAGTTCAACTCACCACTGACCATTTCGTCACTTAATTACTACAAACTCAAATTTCATACTATTCTGAAACTATGATAACTATATGCTTTTGAATAAAGCAAGAACAACAGTGGTTTGTGCAAAATAATATGGTACCATCATTTATTTCGTTGGCTTCTCATCAGCTCAGCTGCTTACAGCCTAGACAAATTATGAGGTTTATGTGCAGAAAAGTTTTAACAGACTTACAAACTTTTCATGATGCCAGTCAATTGACAGAAGCTTCGACAATTAGTGAACAGTGGTCAGAAAATTGCGCTTATATTGTTTTTACACAGGCAGTTCAAGTTTAAACAAAATAAATGTATGCATACAATGGTAAAGGAGTTAGTTACGTAATAAAGACCAGAGATGCGTGAGATGCAGAGTGATTAACTAATAAATTAGGTTCAACTCAAATCATAGAAACAAGAGGCAAGCAAAATTACAGATTATAAAAGGGGGTGAGGTTGAAGACAAAGATTACGTAATCAGATGAAAGAATAAAGACATTCAGCTACCAGGGCAAGGAAAGACTAATAACTGCTTCTTTCTGAACACACACATCAATCTGGTTTCAGGCGTTTG